GGACCCGAGATTTCCTGATGAGCTTCGTCTCCATGTCCTTATCTTTCATCTTTTGGGTCTGAGCTTCAATCACCGCCCCAACAGTCTGTTACCTGCTGGGACCTCTTGGAGACATCCAGGCATCTGAAAATCCTGGACATTGGGTTCTGGTGCCCGAGGACCTTGATGTTATGGCTGTCAGTTGCTGCACTAACCCCTTCTATCTGCCCCTTTGTGCGACTCAGTCTTGTGATGCCTCCCCTGCGTTCCTTCCTCCATCAGTAAGAGTGAATCCAATACTTGGGCTTGTACGTGCAGTGCTTATTCTTGCAATTTTCTGCATATTTGAAATGATCCCAAATCAAATCCACTTTGTAAAGAGGCTACTACAGCAGTGGTTCTGGGCCCCACACCCCCTGGAAACACCAGCCACCTCTGAGCCACATGTGCAGGTGTCCAGACGCCAGCATGCAGACAAAGCTGAGACACCCCGCACCATGGCGTGCTCACTGTCTGACCTCAAATGTAACCATGGCTCTTGGGCTCTCTGAAGACAGCACAGGGCTCGTGGGCGCTGCCTCATATAGCATGGGAACCTGGACACACGAAGCAGTTCATGGAATTGAAACCCTGTGGCCCCTGCCCACCTAGATTCCCCACCCAGGGCTCCCAGGCTGAGAGAAAAAGTCACTTGCAGGACTTGCCAAGAATTCAACTCAATTTAAAAGTTGGCAGAAGCTAGCACGATTCACTCGGTTCATGTGCCCCACGCCCTCTTCTTTCCAGTTTTACAGCTGACATGGCCAGTTGGGGTCCAGCTAACAGAGCACAGGGAAGGAAGCTGCTCTCTCATGAGGCAAGCAGAGGGGAATGAGTTAAGGAGGCGGGTATGGTATGAACCTCCCCGGCAAGTGCAAGGAGCAGGTTTCTGATTGGGGCATTTTTCCAAAGCAATTTCCTTCTCTAGGGGCTCAGGTCTGTGACGCAAAATGGGTAGTGGAGGCACCTAAGTTCAGTCAGTATCACTCAGCTCAGTTCCAAGCAGGGAAGCCACAGCAGGGCAAAGATGAGCTGGGGCTCAGAGGGTGCAGTGAAAGGTCCCAGGACAAGCCAAAGGACACAGGCCCACAATGCAATAGGCAGGGCGGGAGGTAGGACACGCCAGCGGACAGAGCGAACTTACAGAGTGAACGTCTACTCTGTAAGCAGGAGACGGTGTCAGCTCCCCTGCCCCCCGTCCACACCTCACCTGTCTGTCGTCAGGCGGGACCGGCTGGCAGCTATTCAGGTAGCTCACACTGACAGCCACAGATGAACATGAAAGCAAGTGACCGAAAGTGGTCCTGGCTTGCTCGCTCCCTTATCTTTGTGTGACTCATACTTTTCTGTTGACTGAACCTGGGGCTCACCCCGGATCCTTTCCCTTCCTCTCCCTGTCTGTCTCCTGACATCCAATCAAGGAATAAAGCCCGCCTTCATACCTCCTCGCCCCTCCAGCTCCCAGAGCCCACCCTTTTGCTTGGTGCCCTACTCCTTCATCTTCAGCATTTTCCTGGGCCTCACCACCCCTCCCCCACCGACCCTGCTGCAGTCACAGCAACAGCCGGGGTGGGTCGCCACCAAGGTCACTCGTGGTGCCTCCTTCATGTCAAGTCTGGACTGTGCTGCTTCATTCACTTTCCCAGTTTTGTATTCCGTGCCTGGGGCCCAAAGAACTGCCTGTAGCTGCCTGCAGCTGCCTGCACGCGGCGCCCCTGACCATCCGGCAGGCCCCTCTCCAGGCGCCTCCTGTGCTCCCACTCATGGGCGCTGCCACGTGGAGACGTCTGCTTGCTGTCTCCGACACGAGGACACCCGCTCCAAGAGAAGGGCTGTGTCACTGCCACGGTGTCCCTGGCTCTGTATTTGCAGGATGTACTGGACATCTGTGGTGTTTTGAATACCAAGGCCTTGATAAACTTGGCAACAACAGAAACAGTTAAAACACATGCAAATCACGATCAACTGCAGAGAGCACAACACTGAAAATGTTCCGCTATGCTGGAATCAAAATGTTCCCAGATGATTAAAAACTACACATGGAGGGGTGATACACAGTTTATTGAATTAGAGTTTTCTATTTACAGCTGAGATCCCATCTACACACTAGTTCGCTAGTCTACATGGGTACATTATTTCTAACGAGTTTAGACTGACAGTGAATGGGCTCAATCACAGGAAAGCACGCACGCGCTCACACTAATTGTTTTAAAACAGTAGTGCATACATTATATTCCTCCTATAAAGCCTGCTTTGATTAAAAACCACCAGTTTCAAAGATCAGTCTAGTTTCGAGGATGAACCAAGATACACAATGTACAGTTCTAGAATCTATTTTAGCCATTTGTACAGTTGCTATCTTATTGAACTACAGCATGTATTTTTTAAAGGACACTGATGAGGGGCACCATCTGGTATCGCCCAGACAGCTGGCTTCTTCCCCTCCCCTCAAAAACTTTGGCCAAGAGTTCTCCACTGTGAGGACTGAAGAGACCAGTGATACTTCAGCAGCAATCCTTTTCTGGCTTGGAGGTAACAGAAGCAGGCTACGTCCTCCTTTAATTCTACCACACTACACAACTCGAGAACGGTTCTGGAATTTGAGCATTTACCGCCGTACTTAACAACTTAGGGACATGGAGAGTCAGCTAGAATAGGGGGCAAAGAAAGTCATGGGCAGGCAAGTTAAGAGATGGGCATGTGAGGAGCCAGGCCGCTCCAGCCAACGCTGGTGCACATGTGCTTTGCGTAAACGAGCTCAGGAGGCCACAGCAGCGGAGCCGCTCCGTTCACCTTCCAAACCAGAACAAGCCGCAAGCTCAGGCTGGAGCGGCCTGCTACGCGTAGGTCCCACCAGTGATGAGGAGCTCGTAGGCAGGGTCTCTACTCCTTCTGCACAACACGATGCACGCGCACAGCATGCCCAGCAGCTGTAGGGAGAAAACAGCAACCAAATGAAAAGGCTGGAGACCCTCCTAGTAATGGAGCTGTTTTAAAGTACCACCACCTCAAAGCCTCAAAAAGCAGTGCCAACAGCATCAAAGAATTTCTGGAGAATACTTTATCTTCTGAGGCATCTTCTAAGTACCAAATTTTGTCTTCTCTGCCTCATACCTAGGAATAACCTGGGAAGCCTGTGGAGAATCAGGGCACCCCTGCTGCCACGCCCACACTCCTCCTAGAGTAATGCCAGACGAAGGGCTGTCTGCAACGATGGTTCTGCATCTGAGCTGCCAGACACACAGCCACCAGGCGCAGGTGGCGACAGGGCATCTCGTGGAACGAGGACTGTTTTTATTTCATATCAACTAATGTCAACTGATGTGGCCAGTGGATACCATACTGGACAGCAAAGGTCTGGGAAGTGGGATGATCAAGACTATGTATGAGGAGAAAATTTAACGGTGGCCTTTTCTAGCATCTTAATTTGGGGGAGCTAGGTCTTGTAACAATCAACAATGTTTAGTACATGAGCAGTTAGCTCAAACACCCCATGGTGGAAAACCACTCCTGATGCCAGAAAATGTAGTTTGAAACTTTTTGTTTCCTTCAGAACCATTTGTTATTTGAAATCCAGGTTTGGCTCTGTGGTATTACACACTACTTGTAAAAGGTCATTCTCCCTTCATTGTTTCATTTTAATAAGCCTTAATCCTTCCTTGGAAGCACACTGGAACAGTAATAAAGTGATGCCATGTTATTTTGGATAAGCAAAAGGACTGAGCTAGATTAAAAAGAAAATGAATCCAGAGTTTCTGACCTGGCTTTTTACAAAATATAAACAGTAACCAAAGAGCTATACAGGAGTAAGTTAATTTGCTGTTCCAACATTTCATCACCAGTGAAAGGTCATGGATGTTTGATTTTAAAAGGCAGAGCCCTCTGTATATATGGGGTCAATCTAATTTCAACAGAATGTACCAGACTCATAAACAGAGCCTCAAAGTTTGAAGTGGAAGATTAACTACTAATGAGACATGCACAGAATAAGGATGTTCTCAGTCTAAATTCTCTATGGCATAAAGTCACACACTTCAATTTCTGCCCTCAATTAGCCTATATTCTATTAGTTCAGGATACATACTTGCTCCTTGAGTCTGTCACTTTCATTATATTAATCACTCTACTGAGAGCTTGCTAAAAGCACCTTTAAGACATTCTAGTATTGTTGAAAGTTTACTAAAGCCAGTTCTAGACATGTTTAGTATCTAATTCCTAAAGAAATACATTTCCATTTACTGTACATCAAAACACTTTTAGAACAGTTATAAAATCAAACACAATTATGTTCCCAGGCAATGTTAAATTGAGCAATAAAAATGCTAAGCTCAGAAATTACTAACTTGCTGGCAAAAAAATTCTCTTTCTATCCCCACCTCCTCACATTCCTTTCAGCTGGTTAACTTCTACTGTAGGAGTCAGCATTCTCAAAATTAGGTCTCAAGTAAGTATTTCTTTCCTGACTTACTTCAATTAAGTCAACTTGTAATGACTTAAAAACAATTAAATAAGCTTGATAAGCTTAGAATTGGGAATGAGTCTGTTTAAGTACATTAAGTTCTACATAATAGCTTTTTATTGTATAAACATCATCACTAAGTAACACAGGCCCATTTCCAAAACTATTCTATACTGAACATTTTATCGATTACTGAAATTTCCCAGTAACAGACATGGAAATACTATACAAATATTTTAGCTCCAATTATTATTTCTTGCAATGAAATGTCTCTTGCAATGTTCAAGTCACAAGGACTAATCTGCACTTAGTCCAAATATAACTCTCAACAACTGCAAAATATGATTAGCTAAACACAGAGGCAAGTGACAATTAAAGAAAATCTGTCAAGAATTGAAATGTCCGGATACACTATGTGGGTGCCATTATGGAGAAGCAGGTACGGCTATACAAGATTATTGGAAAGGCACACTGGAAATACCCATTTCTGTGAAAAACTTCAAAATCTATGTCAAAAGGTCATTTCATGTATATACCGCTCCACTCCATGTCTACAGATTTGCTCTATACACTGCACACAACTATACAAGACAGTCACCACTTGCCTTTCTGTAACAACAAAAATTAGACAAATGGCCACTAGTGTAGATAAGTTATAAAGTGGGCCCTCAAAACAGAATGCAGAGCCACAGAGAAGATACTAATTTGTTTTTTAGAAGCCACGTACAAAAGGTTAGAACTCTTCTGATTCCATGTACATCTTTTGAAACAACACTTTAGAAATGGAGGACAGATTGGTGGTTGCTGGCCCGTGGTGGGAGGAGACACAAAAAAGAGGGGGGTAGGTGGGTACGGTACCAGGTGGGATCTTTGTGGAGCTGTATAGCATCGTCACATGGTGGTGGATTCACGTCCCAACACTGTGTAGAACTGAATTATGTACACACAGAAATGAAAAACCTGAACAAATTTGGTAGGTTGTACCAAAGCCAAAACCTTGTTATGACACACTTCAGTTTTGCAAAATGTTACCACTGACAGAAACTGGGCAAAGCATACAAGGGCTGTCTGTATTATTTCTTAAAACTGCAAGCAAGTATCTGATTACTTCAATTTTTACAAACAGCAAAGCACAAAATTGCATCATAGAAGCTTCTATTTGCATTTTAAAAATGTGCTTGTAAGGGGCCTCCCTGGTGGTTCAGGGGTTGAAGTGAGCACTATGAAGCTATCCTCAGTCACTGCAGCACCAGTCTGATCCCCAGCCAGGTTGACCCACATAGTGTGGCAGACCTCTCCTGTCTCCCCGCACTGCTCCCCTCAGCAGTATGCTTCAGTGGATCTGCCTGTTCTGCTCCCCACCCTGTCTCTGGTGATCCTCTCAGCCCCACACCTCTGGCCTATACCCCAGTCTTGTATGCATAAATAAATAAATCTTTAAAAAAAAAAGTGTGTGTGTACAACTACAAACTACTTCTGGAAGAAAACAGAGGTAACTGGTAACAGTGGTACCTCTGCAGGGGGGACATGAAAAGTGGAGTGAAGACCAAGAAAGGTAACCTTTTCCTAAATTTATATCATCTGAAAAAAATTTCTATCAAGTACTTTCAATAAAAAATAAATCTTTCAAAAATTCAATTAGCATTTATTTTCCCCAAATTAACAAAGTTAATCTTAGCCACTCAATAATCAGTTTCCCAAGAAATCACTGGTGTAATTTTTGAAGGAAGAATTATCTGGACTATAAGAGTGTCAAAATCAAACCACTGGATTTTAATCCCTATTCGGAATAAATCCAAAGTGTTACTTAAACATTTTAACTCACATTTTAATGAATATCTGGTAGTCAAGTAGCCATAGGAAGGAAAGTCTTAACTTACAGCACAGTTGGCAGTCTGACCAGAAAAGAGCAACATGGCCTTGGGCATGCAATGTCTGCTTCTGACAGCTCCATCCTGAGGACATGCCAACCTTGTGAGATTCTGCCAATTCCTACTTATCCCATATTGCCTTCCTCACAGCAGAATCTAATAAGCTTGGCAAGCATAAAATAAAATTCAAAATCAATCATTTTCTAACTTATGAGGTTAGTTATGTTCAAAGAAGTGAAATATCTTGTTTCATAAGCTAAGAAGGGGGGCCTCCCTGGTGGCACAACAGGTTGAAGCGCAGCACTATGAAGCTATCAGCAGCCACTGCATCAGGAGCTCCGTCCCTGGCCAGGGAGGTGACACACGTGGTGCAGAAGGCCTCTCCTGACCCACCCGTCGCTCCCCTCAGCAGTGCATTTCACTAGATCTGCTTGTTCTGCTCACCACTCTGTCTCTGGTGAATCCTCTCACCTCCTGCACCTCTGGCCTTACCCAAGTTCTTGCATGCAGAAAAAAATACAATCTTAAAAAAAAAAAAAAAAAAAAGAAGCTAATGAGGGGTGTGGCAAAAACTTTTAAAAAGATTTATTTTATTTATTTATGCTAGGTATAGTCCAGAGTTGTGGAGTGTGAAGATTTACCAGAGTGGGAGGGCAGAATAAGCAGATTAACTAAAATACACTGCTGAGGGAGCAGTGGGCAAAACAGGAGGTCTGTGCCACCTTGAGGGTTAGCTCCCAGGCTAGGGATCCGAAGCCTATAGTTTGATAGTGCTGAAACTTAACCCCTGTGCCACCAGAAAGGCCCTCGGTGGGAAAATTTTTAAAGCTTCTTTTCTTATTTAAAAATCTCATTATAATAACTAGTATTTTTTTTTTTTTCAGTTTTCCTTCCTTGACCATTTTCTTAAAGGGAAGTACAGTAAATACTTTAGGCTCTGAGATCCAAGAGACAAACTGGGTCTCTGATGGACTTGCTCACCTCTGCCACTGAACAACTAAGCAGTGGCGCACACAGAGGTGACAGGCTAGACTCAGCCCCCAGATAGTTAACACCTGAATTACAGTCTTTTATTGGTAAATTAAGTTCATAAGAAAATTTTTTTATGATTTACCTTTATGCCTTTAGAACTCCACTGAAATGTAGCTTAAAAGCTGGTTCAAATCACAAGCAAATCACAAGCAAAATCAAAGAAGACAATGATCACCACAGTTTTGATCCCCACAAACCCCCAAGCAACCTGTGAGCTCTAAGTCTATGGATGAACAAGAACAAGCGCTCACTGGTCTTTGAGCTATATCGCTGCCTTTGCTCATCCCAGGCTACGTACAGCCCAGGCCTCAACCTACATCAGATTTTAACTATCAAAAGTTTTGAACATTTATAGGTATGTTTAAAATGAAGAAAGCATACTAGGGAAAGCTTTCATTTCAAATGGATTTCTTTCCCTTAAAATCAAAGTTTTTTAAATTTCAAGATTATTAGGTTTTGAGTATATGATAGCTTGAATCACTGAAATAATAATACTGAACTGAAAATATCAAATCTTTATTAGCTTTTACTTATGTTAGGATGATTCAAGTATAAAACATAGGAAAAGACATACTTTCAACTGTAGGAGACTGGTTACAAGATTCATGAGCCCTCACTGAAAAATACTTCCTTAGAAATATCTGGGGGACATGACAAAAGTGGTGGCTGTTGTCATCTCCTAAATACATTTTGCATTATTTTGTGACCACAAGCACCAGAGAGGTCCCAGGCTTCCTGCCACTGCTTTATCACCGCATGAGATCATTAAGAACACACACACATCAGGATCTTGCTTGGGAACAGAGACCTCCCTCATGATTTGTTGTTTTTATCTAAACAAATGTGTTTGCACAATCAAAATATGAAACACATCCCTACTGATCAGATTACTGCTATGCTGGGCCATATAAATTTGTAGGTGGGCAGAGACCACAGCAAATAGTGAGCCAGACTTTTTAATGAGTCATCTCAGGACTGTTTGAATACCAGCAAAGTAAACAAGTTCCCGTCTCCCATTCTAAAAGGCACTTTCCATTAAATGCCTAGCTTCTGTTCAAACACACAGCAGGCTACCCAAACAACTTACATTTAAACTAGTAATTACATTAGTTTTATCTAACAACTAAAATATAAGTGGACTTTCTTAAATGACCATAGACCTAAAACATATTTCAAGAAAAACTAAAAAACTGCTTTGAGAATAGAATCAATGCAAAGGATTTTCAGTTAAATAGTTTGACTACTCTGAGATAGTCTTTTAAAAGAATTCCTAAGATATACTATATATTCCAGAGAAACCAGGAATGCAGTCGTTGTTTCAGGCAGAAATACAGCCATCTGTCTGGGAGGGAAGGTAATTCAGCAATTACCAGCAGCTTGAATGCATTATTAGTGGGGAAGAGACTGTTTTCACTGTTAACAGCTAGAATAACAAGTTCCCCTCAGCTACTCACAGTGACATGTTACACTTTTAGATGTGCCAAGGCACATCACAGATTACATGATAGCTGTCTACCTAAAAAAAAAAAAAAACAATAAAGAAGCCTACAAAGACAAAATAATCCCCTCAACACATCGGTCCCCCATCCAGATCTCTGGTTTTGGGGGACTATCCTGGATCTAGGTCTAGAGAAAGGAAAGGAAGATGGTGGGTGGCTAGGTCTATCAGTCAATACAGGTTTTATATATACACAAAGATTAACTATGCTTAGTGAGTAAGCCCATTTGGTGGATACCAGAGAAGCAGTACTCTGACAAGACTTCTTATCTCCTTGTGCTTACCTGAATAGCTGCAAATGCCAGGGCAGCCCAGATAACAAGCATCATGATTTCTTGCAGCTTTTTCACAACTAGAGCCTCACATCCCTGAAATACACCAAGTCATCCTTCATTAGAAGTCTTTTTTAAAAGGTTAAGCCTCAAGGGCTTAACTGCTACTCACTAGAAGAAATGGAAATGACAGAAGCTAAAAGGAAAAAAGACAATGCATTTAAAAATAATTTACAGCAAAGTAAAATATCATTAAATATGAGTAAAAGAGGATAAAAGAGAAATTTCAGATGGAGAGAATTCACAGAAAAACCGGTGACCAGCCCACATTCAAATCTTGGCCAAGAAAATGAACTTACCTCGGCATAGAGGTCAGAGGGATGGGACAGGCTTCCGTTACAGCTGCTGGCAGTCTCTCTGCAGCAGCTAAGAGGGACACTCTGGTTTTTGGTTTCTTTGAACCAGTCTGTATTTTCCCAGTCTGAATAGTTGTGAATTCCACAGCAGTGAAGCTAGTGGAGAAGGAAACAGAGACATGATTCCTCGTGAATGCACACCTCTGGTGAACTTTAAAGTCCCAGACAGTGCAGGACTCTAAGCTACTCTACGATGTCCCACAGGACTTTCTACAATGACAAAAAGGTGCAATTTGGTACTCACTAGTCGCACGCCACCACTGAGCACTTAAAAAGTGGCTAGTGTGACTAAGGAGCCAAATTTTTATTTTTAAGTTAAGTAGTCACCTGTGACTAGTGGCTTCAGAATCTTCGTATGAGAAACACATTGCCCACAGAGGTAATTTCTAACTAGGAAAAATCTTCATGTCTTTCATGTGAAGTATCTGAGTTCAGTATTACCTCTAATGACAATGTTTTGCTTTCTTAAGGTATATGAAGGCCTCCCATCTCATTAAACATCCATCTGGACGCCCACCTCTCTTATAATACACACCCCTCTTCCATTATGTCTCTGAATAATTATTTTTTTGAGGAAAAGAGTCAGATACTTTGTTTATCTAGATTTAACTAGGCATTGATAGAAAAAACATTTCAAGGGAGACAATCATAAAGCATAACTAGGGCAGTGAAGGCACAAGGCTAAGTTACACAGTAACATAGTAAGTTTAATGTTGAACCAACAACAAGAAAGAACCTCACAAAGAAACTCACCTGAAGAGATCTTACCTGTCTCTGTACATAATCAATAGCTCGGCTAGCGGCATCAGGGTTGGTTCCATTGTAGGTCTTATACACTTTTTGAATGCTGCGATCAACCTCATTTTCCACCTGAATCCAAACAAAGATTTCTATCACCCCAAAATAGTGATTGAAGTAACACTAGTCAAAGCTCCAGTTAAATACCTCAATGACTTGTATGCAAAATTGCCAGGTATCCCTGAAATTCTTACCAAGAAAAATGTTTCCCCTCTTCCTACCATCATATAGATAAATTCAGGTAAAAATTCAGACAACTTATATCAATCACAATTAAAAGCATTCAGAGAGATGGCAGGCTGATGAGCAATTCAAGGAGATAATACATGAGCCGGGAGCTATCTTAAATTACAAATTTCTTGAATTATAAATGGATCGCCTTCCTTTTCAAAAATGTTTTAAGGATGTTCTCAGAAGATCTACTTATTTTCTTTTCCCAGAGGAAGTAAAAATAAAACAACTTTAAAAAAAAAACTCTACAAACATTTTGGGACAAATACAAATATTCTTTTCTATTTTACTTATTCAATGGTTAGAACTGGTCAAATATACAAAAGTAATCAGATAAAAAAAAATCAGCAATACAAGTGGCACCTTATGGAAAGTTTTTTTTATTATAAAAAGCTTGACAATGAGTGAGGTGATAGGAAATAATCACTTTATTACTGCCCGTTGCTAAAGCAGCAAGGTGTCATTTAGTAAAGTTCACTTGCCCCATGTATTCTTCCAACACTTCTAAGGCAATCAGACATTATTTGGCAATAATATCAGTAATGTGATGAAACTGTAAAATTGATAGCCAGATCACAGGGACAGGTATAATCCATTGCATTCAGTTTTTTTTATTAAGATATTTATTTATGCATGCATACAGAATTAGGGTACAGGCCAGAGGCACAGGGAAGGTAAGAGGATTCACCAGAGACAGAGTGGGGAGCAGAACAGGCAAAGTACACTGCTGAGGGGAGCAGCGGGCGGGTCAGGAGAGGTCTGCCGTGCCATATAGATCACCTCTGGGGCCAGGGATGGAATGCTCACTAAAGCAGCTGCCACCAGCCTAAGTCCTAATCTTTGCACCACCAGGGAGGGCCCTGCATTCAGTTTTTAATATAGCTGCCCGGAATCTCTCTTATCAGTGATAAGAATATTAAATTGGCATTATCGTGCCTTTGACTTAAACTTGTCAAGTTACAATGAGAATAATGTTACTATGCCTTTATCATGACTCTGAAAGTTATACCCAAATTAACTTAAATCAGCCTGTTTAGTTCCCTATAGCACCTTGGGTGGAAAACAAAAGCAGGCAAAACAGAAAAGGGAAAGACAAAAGGAGGAAATGACGGCGAAAGAGGAGCAAGAGAGAGTGATGGCAACAGTGCTGTGGTGCCCAAGCTGGCAGGGCCTCTCAGCTCAGGGAGTGGGAGGTCAGATCACACAACCATTCTCTTCTCATATCCAGGACCAACGCATGTTTTTTAAAGAGGCAGTGGAAAATGAAATCCGTAACTTAGTCCTTCTGAAACAAATCAGAAAGCATACACTTCCATCTCTTTCAAGGAAATGATGGGCTGAGGAAACTGGAACATGTTTCTAAGCTGACCAACTTCTCATTTGCCGCTAACTCTGGTAATTTACTAAATACCTACCAACAAGGAAAGTACAAGAACTAACATTCTGTGATACTAAATGAGACTGAAACCCGACTACATAATTTCCAATTAATTTTAGATTTTTAAAGCGTGGTTGAACTGAAGGCAAAAGAAAACATTTCCCCTGCCAAAATGAACTTGTTCTACTTCACCTCAAAAACTCAGCCCACCTTTCAAAACATCAATTACAGTAAACAACATACCTTTGCTCTGTAAACGTATCCCAAAACCACTACAACAACTTCTGTGACAAAGACCAAGAGTAGGATGATGACAAACTGTAAGAAAGCATTGTCAAAAATTAAACAGAAATGAAAAAAGTTAATATTCTCTTGATAAACAATAACCACCTGAGATAATTACTAGTTCTGAGGTAAGTGCTAGTTCTGTCCCAATTATGAGCGTCATGGAGTTTCACGTCCAATTCTAGTGAGCACACAAGCGGCATACTCCCGCCATCTCCCACCCCATGTGGCTGGCAGAGGGCAAACCTACCGTGGCAAGTCCGCAGCGGCTTTCCCGGATGGTGGCGCAGCAGCCTATGAGCCCAATAATGAAGAGGAGGGCGCCCACCGCTATGATCACCACAGCGGGGATGAGAGTGTACACATCCTCAAAGAAGTGGTCGTAGTCGTCATACGTGATGAAGACATAGGCTCCCACGTAGCACAGGATGCCAGCTGCCCCCTGCGGAGAACAGTACTGCTAGGGAAATGTTCTATTTCTCAGCAGATATAATTTAGTGAGGTTTCCGATCACTTTTAAGTCTATGTAGAGACTTCAGTGGAGTTGAAAAGCCTATAAGTAAAAACATTTCTTTAGTAATGTTGACAAGTTTCCCAAACACGACCTCCTTTTCAGTAACGGCTGAACTGAAACCAATTACCCAGTAAGTAACACTGTGGCCAAGAAGGAAAAGGCATAGCAAAGACTTACTGTAGCTCAACCAGTTGGTCAGTGAAGACCAAAGGGCGCACCCCTGTGCCCATCACATCCACCCTAACAAACTGGGGAATTTGGCATCAGAAACAGAGCCATGCAACCTCACTGCAGAACAAACATCTCTAGCCTCTTGTTCAAAGAAACCCACTCAGGGAAAGAAAACATAGTAACAAATAGTAACCATACCCCCAAAACATCTGCTGACCTAGTCCAGACTGCCCCTTGGTGAAGCCAGAGGGCTGGGTTACTAAAGAAATAGGCAAATCCTTAGGGCTCTCTATTCCCTAGAACAGTTCACTACCTAAGCTGTGCTACCCACCCCCAGTGCATGTCCCACAGGCACCTCACCTTCCATCCCCTTCAAGCTCTCTCTGCCTTTCTGCCACCCCGTGGGGTCTCCACTGACATGCCCAGTGTAGCAAAGGCAGCGGCCATCTCATATTTTCAGCCAAATACCTAAGAGTGACTCTACCACTCCTTTGCCCTCCTTCTATATCCATCAATTACCAAACTCCTTCTATTTATTTCCAAAATGTTGCTAGAACACCATAACTTTTTCTCTGACAACACTCCAGTGCTTTGGTTTTAATTTGGGCTTTATCATTGTTCACCCTAAACGCTGCCTGCTAATACGCCCTGCTCCTAAAGAACAGGTTCTTTACTGATCCATTATTTTTATAAAAATTATAAATGAAGTCAAGCATTCATTTGTTGAAAACAGGATGAGGCAAGCAAGGTCCCTGATGAACTAAACTAAGCTATTCCTCCTTGCTTTTCAGTCAGTCTGAGTACTCTTTGGAATGCAGCACCTGCTCCCCTCCTCCGCACTCCCCCCCCCCATTCCGTTAAGCCCATTAAGAGGCAGCTAAAATGTCATTTCTTCCTTTTAGAAGATACCCTAAACTAAGTAGCCCTCCTCCAGTCTGGACCCCATAACACAGCCCTGCCACAGTCTCTGCTCTTAACTCCTCCCGAGTCACACATGCGGCCAGGGCACAAACCCACTCTAGTCTTTCCAGGCCAGTACCTGCTGGTCCCAAAGCTGTTATCAGCCAACCTCAGGATGCCTCATCTCGTTCCTACCCTTGAAATCATCCTCCCATCTAAATCAGAAACCTTGATATTTTTTGTTTTGTTTCTCTTTAGTCATATGTTTGTAGTTTTCAGTCCACTATTCAAACATGGTTTGGCAACTTAATCCATCTCACTGAATTCCTGATGGCCATTACATCTGGTATAATGTTCATAAACACTGCACTAAAGAGCATCATTCACACAAGTCTTCAGAGTTCACTGCATACTAACTTTGGCGTCATAGCATAATGGGATGAAGGCAGGCACAGGAGAGGGAAAAAGAGGACAGACAGCTTAGTAGGTTGTGTGCACTGACTACAGCAGTGTGTGGACGACTTAACAGTCTTACCAGATACTTTTTCTTGACTACATATGTCATATAAACACACGTGTGTGTAAACATGTTTTGCTAAACATTTTCAAGTCCTCAAACTGAACTAAAAAAAACATAAATCCTAAACATAAATCCATCCAAGTTTGCCCGGTTTGTCTTCACTAGTCATTTCAGATTCTTAGCTCTTCCTACTTTCAAAAACAATACGTATTTTTTAAAAGGCTTCAATTAAAACAAACTCCACTGTTGAGCTTCTAGTAAATAAAATATTGGCCTACATAAATTCAAATAAGAACCGCAAGATATATGCGTTTTCGACCTAAAGAAATTCCCGTGAGATTCACTGCTGCGCTGCTTGGGAACGGGCCCAGTGGCTGCTGCGGGGCGCCCCTGCCCTGCGCCCCTCTCCATCTCGACTGAAAGTGAGCCTGTCAAGAGGCAGAAAAACACAACCAGACGTGGCATGAGCACGATGGACGGCTTGTGGGAGAGGCCCTTTGTAGAGCTGCCTGTTCCTTTCTGACAGACTCGACAGCAGTTTCTTTCCCAGGCTGCAAACCAGGCCACGTCCTTAAACAGCAGAACTAGGAACATAACAGAGCTCTATTCTGACAACACCAGGGAGAAATGGAGTATTACTTGTGCACAGCAAAGCAGAAACTGCACTGGTGGCTGATGTGAGACATATATAAGTCAAATTATTTGTCAATATAGACTTTTTAAATCTGAAGATACCTTTAAAATTTTCTTCTTTAATAACAGTTGAATACAGTGCTTATATCTTAAGCTGTAGCATAAAAAGCTTGTGTAATGACATCAGTTCCTTTGAAAAGACAGAGCTGGTGTATTAAATCAGCAATAAGCAGCTGCGTTAATGACACCCAGCCATCAGTTTGAAGGAAAGGTGATTTGTATGATAAATGGAAGGAGACAGTAATTCTAGCCAGTATGCACAGGACTTTGCAGTCATTCAGGTTTTTAATAAAAAGGTTGTGGTTACAGAAAGTCTAGGAGAGCTAGGGTAAACCCTCTACTGAAAGGTCAGGATGGGGCTGGGATCTGTCAAAGGGGCTAGGCTTTGCCAAAGCAGCTGTGGGGGAGGAGGTGCAGCAGAAGTGGCAATGAAATGCAGAACTTGGAAACAGCTGAACTGCTTTAGTCACTACTGAGAAAATCTGAGCCTATAAGGAGGATTTGTGCCAGGCCAGTATACTAAAAATATTCAAAAATAGTCATCCTTTTTACAAAGAAGCAAAGGGAAATTTAAGGGAAACACGGAGAGTCAAAGCTATAGAAAGAATAATTTTTAAAAAATCATTCTTCTTTATCTTTTAATAAACTCACAGAATTAAATCACAGAATTTTAAACTTTTGGCAAGCAATGATTTTCCACAACACCAAACTGTTCTAAAATACAAAGTTATCTTGCTATGAAATTCTGGAAGTGAGTTCCAGAAGTATGGCGCTTCATTTTATTCTCTCACCCTTCCACTACATCCACACACTGAGGTTCTTTTAAAGTAAGAATTCTCATTCTTATCGTACGATTGCTTTTTCTGTAGTTTAGAAAGTAATGTTTGTGGCTTTGTATGATGTGTACTTTTTGAATCTTCCATGGAAGAAACAGTTGATGAAATGAAAGCCCACAATTCTTTAGTTCTCACAGAAAGAAGGAAAATGAAGGGGCACATCAGCCACAATGAAACCTGCCATCAAATTGTGGCAAAATCAAAAAAAGGAGACCAGCTTGTTACAAAGTAGGAGATAAAATGGCTGTTTTTGAAAGGGGTATCTGCATGGATATTGTGAAGATGGAAGCACCCTAAGAACATCTGGGTGACAAGACAAAAAAACTCAAAAGCAACTTTCTTGCAGAGTCGACATGGATCATGTGCAGAAGTGGCAGGAATCAGGGCAGTGCAAAGGCTACCAGGTTATCGTTCTACTAAAAGCAGTGTCACACAAGTGACTCTCGCCTACATGACCTCCTTCAAAGTGGTTTCTGAGTCAAAGGATCAATTGGTAAAGCAGAAGTAACTGGAATGTTGGGCAGGAAAAAAAAAAATCAAGAAAGGCCGGGGGGAATTACTGTATATTCTAGTCTTTATAAGAAAGCAGAACTGAAAATAGAAAGCAGAAGGAGAGAAACACCAGCAGAAACTCATCTTATGGATATATCTTTTAGCATTTAATGAAGGGTTTCCTGTAAAACTTAGCTGCTTTTTATGTCCCCTCATTTTTCTCCCACAAGGAATCCATTGGTACAGTGCACTTCTGACAGATTCCCCAAACTCCACACTTGTGCCATTACAAGTGTCTTAAAGTCACATTAATTCCTTTCCCATTCTATTTACTATAATAATCTCTATCCCAACATACTCTGTTTCAATTCAGACTTACTCTGATAAAATACTTCATTAAATACAATCATTCCCTACCATACCCAATAAATGCATATTTCACTTATTCCTTATCATTTTCATTTTACTCTTTCATCTAACCTTCTAAAAGATAAAAGACTATTCCAAGATTCCTACTTCCTCTGGAAATTAAAGCCCCTCTTAGAAGAACTTCTGCAACTATTAAAATAATTATATCACTTTCTACCTAACAAATCAGTCAGTAATAAAGACAAGAGTTCTCAAAGAATTGTGAGGACACAGAGTGTAGATGAATACAGAATAATCATCATGAAAACATTCTTGCAATACAGATCATTGTTCATTGTTTTTGTACCTAATTCCACTTCTAGAAGTCTATCCTTAAGAAAATCAGTCAGATGGAAACCAAGTTTTGTATAGAAGGCATAGTAATCAAAACAGTATTAACAGTGAAAAAATGAAAAAAAGGAAAAAATCCTGGCACCCAGAGGAATACTTGCATTACAGCCCTTAAATTTTGTTAAAGCCCAACTTAACAGTATGTTGGAGAAAAAATAAATACATTACATACAGATATTTCAAAAATACACCAAACTGCTAATAGTGCTTGTCTCTGGATGATAGAATCATGGTGTTTGCTTTTTAAAAAATAGTTTTTAGTGTCTCTTTTAAAAAAGAAAATACATTATTTTCATAATTAGGCAATTAAGTATTTAAATTATATCTGAAGCTGAAATTTGCTTTCTTGGGCAAATTTATTCCTAGACCTGTTGTTACCTACCAGCACAAAACAGTCATCTATTCAATCCCAAATATTTGAGACATCTCTGTCCATCTACCCCACTTATAAATGTATCCTGGTGTGTTTGTCTTTGACTCATCTTGAGCTATTTTCTGAATATCTAGCACAATCATGACTTCAATACACATTATCTTTTCTCCCCATAAATATCACCTTTCAAGGTGACAGGAAAGTAAAATCCTACATAGTCCTGTAAACTTTCTGTCATTATTATCAACATCATTATCATTATTACCAGTATTCTTAATCCTTTAAAACTGATACAACTCTGATGAGAGTCCAAAGGTCATATTCCTCAATTCTTCCTTATTTTCACTTTCTCAGTACTAGGGTTTTTTTTTTTTAAATAGTCATTATCCCTACATCTTAACAAACTTCTTTTTAATCCATATTACACCTACCATCTTAAAGATTCAAAAGTTCAGGAGGCAATGAATTGGAGACCAACCAGCTGGCATAGCCAAATCCTGATAACAGCACAGAAGTCAGCTCTTTTCCGACTGCAGGCTCCAGGGGTACTCTAAGAAGCATAGAACTTAAACACACATTTTCCTTTGCAACTCTCTGTCCCCACCTTACTCTAACTATGAACAGGAGTTCTTCTACTTTAGGAGACTGAGATGCTTAAATTAACCTTAGCCTATTGAAGAGTTTGTCTGTGGTCACATGTTTTACCAGTAGTGACAAAGTGAGCTACAATAGCAGTCACCATGGACTCCCTTTAGTAAATTAAAAACACATAAATGCAAATAATTTCTCATCCACTGACTTTATCAAACTACTAAGGGGGGAAAAGGGTAACATTTTTAAAGGAAGACTTGAGGCTATCCACAAGTGTGATTTGGGGGAGGAGAAAGAAGTTACAACTAGAAAGTGATTTTTGCCAGTCTGTGTCCACTCCTCCCCATGAATAACTATCCACTCAGGTATACCTGTATGATACACTGAAGATTTTACCTAAATTGGATCTTAAGGAATGCAAGTTCATTAAAAACTTCAAAACATCACAAATATCCTGAAAAGCTAATAAACAACCTATTCCTTAATTTACAGCCAAGAGACCGTTCCTGAATACGGTCACCTGGCTGATTCCAAGGTCCCGAAGCTCTGCGTTCTTTCAGTTAACGATTATTCAGTGCCACCTAGCGCTTGGTCAGTGGATAGAGGGGTGAGAATACAATAAGACTGGAAATATAAATTTTTTTATCTGGCAGAACCAAGTTAAGGAGGAGGTCCCCTATTTATTATACATCATGACTCACTTTCTAACAAAGTCCGTCTTTCAACAACTATGCAAAAAAATAGTCATTAGTTGAAGGTGTGCTCCTATGTCACATTCTTTGTGGAGCAGATATTCATGATCAATATACATACAAGAGGGAGAGAAACACATTTTAAGATATCAAATGAAGGTTCCAGCTTAAAAAGTATATTCTCCAAAAAATATATATATAGATATTTTCTCAACTCAACTAGGATGT